GGGGGGCGGGACGGACCCGCCCCGGGGCTGCGGGACCGGCCGGCGGCGTGCGGGAGCGCGGGCGGCCATGGAGGGGGCGCGGGGCATCCACCACGAGATCGCCTCCCTCAAAGGTACCGGGGCAGGGGGCACCGCCAGCGGTCCGGGGCCGGGCCCGCGGGAATTCCGCGTCCCGGGGAGGGTTCCGCGTCCCGCGGGGGGCGGGGGGGCCGCGTCCCGGCGAGCTCCGGCCGCGCCGCATCCCTCCCGTGCCAATGTCGCAGCGCGGGCGGGAGGGCGGGGGGCACCGGGGCATCGCCGGCATCGCTCGGAGTTCCTCGGTGCCGCCGGGCCCCCGGCGGGCTCCGCCGCGGCGGTGCCGCGTTACCGAGCGGAGCGGAGCGCTGGGCCGTGAGTAACGGGAGCCGGCGGACGCCGGTCACGGGGCTGCCGGCGGCCACCGGCCCCGCTGAGCCACCGCGGGGCTGGAGCGGAGCCCGGCCGGGGTCGGCGTGGACCCGGCGAGAGACGGGAGGGACGCCGGGAAAGTCGCGATGGAGCCCGGGAGCCTCAGGGTGGAGTCAGAGAGGGTCGGGGGGGACGGACACGGGCGGGGGTCGTGATGGACCTCGGCCGGGGGGGGATGGGGTGGGCCTCGGGCGGCTGGGGAATGATCCCGGCGAGGTTCGGGATGATCCCGGCAGGGTCAGGGCGCCCCGCGGCTGTGGCGATGCCGCAGGCCCCAGAGAGGGGGTCCCGGGTCGTGTCCCCCCCCGGCAGAGCCCGGGCTGCAGCGAGGCTGATGAACAGTGAGGAAAAGGAGGCTGATGTGCGGGAATTAAAAGGAGGTTGATTTACGGGAATTAAAAGGAGGTTGATTTACGGTGAGCACGGGAGCCCTGCCGGCACCGGGACCCCTGCCAGCACCGGGACCCCCGCCGGCACCGGCGTCATTGTGAGGGGGCCTGTGTCCGCGGTGCCCTCCGCAAACAGCCGCGGCTTTGTTCCGCTGGGCACGGGGAGCCCGGCGGCCCCGCCAGACCCCAGCACTGGCAGCGGCACCGGCGCTGGCACCGGCACCGCACGGCAGCGCCGGGCCCGCTGCCACAAGCGCTGCCCGCCCCACATTTGGGGGCCCGCCCGAGGCTTCCGTGGGGTGCACAGGACCGGGACTTGGGGTGCCCCCAGCCCCCCGTGCTGCTCCCGGGGCGCGGCGAGCGGGGCCGATGCGGGAGGGCTCATCCCCGGTGGGTGCGGGGCTGGCGGCGGGGCGCTGGCGATGTCCCCGCTGTCACATCGCGTTGGATCACGGCGGGCGGCGGGCGCTGACGCGGCACTTCCCGGCGGGACGGAGCCGCCGGCGCGGCCGTGACCCCGCTGCGGGCCGGGGGTGCGGGGGGGACGCGCTCCTGCTGCCCCCGTGGCTTCCCTAGAGATGCCCCCAGTGCCTCCTCCATCGCAGGCACCATCACTCCCGCATTGCTGCTCCCCATTTCTCATCCCTGCCCACCTTGGTCCTCATCCCTGCCCCCCTTTTTCCCCATCTCCGCCCCCCTTCTTCCCCATCCCTGCCCTCCATCACCCCCCTCCCTCCACCCCCGGCCGCTCCTGCCCTCGCTCCTGCCCTCTGTCCCACCCTCTGGGGTTCTGGGGGGCTGTGGGGCTCCCCGAGGGCAGCGTGCCGAGGTGGGGCTCGGGCAGGCGATTGATGCTCCTCTCTGGGGGGGTCTGGGCACCCCAGTGCTCCCAGTGCCGCTGCACCGGCTGCGCCCTGTGCTCTGCCCTCCGGGATGGGGAAGTTGTGCAAGTCCTGTCGGGGCCCCTGGAGACGCCAGTGCTCGAACATCAGCCCCTGCAGCTTTGGGATCCCCGGCAGCTCTGGGGCGGGCACCCCACAGGCAGCAGCCGCCCGTGCCTGGCTGCTCCCCACCAGTAAATCCCAGTAAATCCCAGTGAATCCCAGTGAATCCCATCGGCAGGGATGGGAATGCCGGGCGGGTGTCCCTCCATCCCCCCAAGGCTGCCGGCGAGCTCCTGCTGCAGCCTCGCTGCATCCCTGTGCCCCTCACTGTGCTTGACTGGGTGCGCTGAGGGAGCCTTGGGGGGTTCCTCCCCTTCTGGGGGTCTGTGAGCCCGGGACCCCCCCAGCGTGGGGGACAGCCTGGCACCCCAGTTCGTCCCACACAGTCCCTCCTGCTCTGTGGTGGGGGTGCCACACGGGACATGAAAAGGGGGGGGTCGCCGGTGCCGGGGCTCTTGCCATCCCCCACGGCGGTGCTGGGGGTCCCGCTGCTGTGCCGGGGGGTCCCCGCCGAGCTGCTGGGGGCTGTTGGGCGGTGCTCGATGCCGGGGGGCTCGGGGGAGTGGCAGCTGCCTCTGGCTCGTCCCCACCTGCCACCCGCAGGGCGTGGCGCGGCGCAGCTGTGCCACCGCCGGGGCTGTGCCACCGCCGGGGCTGTGCCACCGCCGGGGGGTCCCCTTGGGGACAAATGGGCAGGAGCAGAGCAAACACTGACGTGGCAGGATGTGGCTGCCCAGCCCTGCCCGCGCCCATGCCCGTGCACCTGCCCGACCCCTGCCCGCGGCTGTGCGGGCAGCGCGGGATGCTCGGTGAGCCCGGAGCTGCCCGGGACCCCCCCCCCTCTCAGCGACCCCAGGATCACGGTCCTCTCCCGAGCTCGGGGACAGGCTCAGGACCCCTCCCCAGGCTCAGGGTGCCCCTCCCCAGCTCAGCAGCTCGGTGTCCCCCTCGGGATGGGTTCCAGGATCCCCGCGGCTCAGGGACACCCCGTTCCCGACCCAGGGTCGCCCCGGGCACTCCGCGGGGCCGGTGCCGGTGCCGGGGCGGGGCGGGACCCGCGGGGGTTCCCACGCAGGAACCGGCCGGGTGGGTCGGGGCAGGGGGGGGAAGGGGAGGCGGCTCCGGCCGTGCCCCCCCCGGGCGGGAGCCGGGGCCGGGGAGGGGCCGGTGGTGAGTCAGGGCTGGGCCTGGGGCCCCCCCTGACCCCCCCGGCCGGGGGTGGAGCCGCAGCCGCTCCCGCCGTGCCGGCAGCCAGCGCCGCTCCGCGTCGGATCGCGCCGGGACGTGCCGGGCCATACGGGGCTGTACCGGACTGCGCCGAGCTGTGCCAGGCCGTACCGGGCCGAACTGGACCGTACCGCGCTGGGCTGGACCACCTGAGTCGTGCTGGGCGGTACCGGACCGTAGTGAGCTGGGCCGTGCCGGGCCGTACTGGGCTGTGCCGGGCCGTGCTGGGCTGTGCCGGGCCGTGCTGGGCTGTGCCATACGAGGCGCTGCCGGGCTCCGTGGAGCTGTGAGCGAGCCCCGCTGCCCGCGCCATGGTGGCGGGGATGCTGATGCCGCTGGAGCGGCTCCGCTCCATCCTGGAGCTGCTGTTCCGCGAGGGCGTGCTGGTCGGGGAGCGGGACGGCTGCCCCCGGCGCACCCACCCGCAGCTGCCCGGCGTGGCCAACGTGGAGGTGCGGCGCGCCATGGCCTCGCTGCGCTCCCGCGGCCTCGTGCGACAGACGGCGGCCTGGCGACACCTCTACTGGTACCTGACGGACGCCGGCGTGGCTCACCTGCGCCAGTACCTGCGGCTGCCGCCGGACGTGGTGCCGCGCTCCCTGCAGCGCGTCCCGCGCCCCGCCGCCCCCCGCCCCGAGCC